ATACATTTCACATCAAAATTTTCACCGTGCAACGCTGGGTAACTCAATTAGTATATAATAAACATAACTATTAACAAATTCTGAAACAAAGGATGTGGCAGGAGGGGTCTGATTTTTATTTGATAGCTTTTTAACCAAACAGAATTGAAGGCTATAAAAATTATGGTTTGTCTGGACGATGTCAATTTTATAGTGAGTAATTTACATTTAATTTCATACTTTTTGGAGGGGTGGTAGATAAAATAGAGAAGAGAAGATGCTTTGAGAAAATGTCACTGTGTCCCACTAAGGGAAATTCAGGATTTTTTAAATATTGCCTTGTAGAATCAAGAACTTAAAGCTTGTGTACTATTAAAATATGGACTATTAAATAAGATTTTATGCAATATTAATTGATATAAACAAAAAGTAGGTTAGTAACTTTTTGAATATAAGACACTAAAACGGTTAAGGATACTCATGGCGATGAGGTTAAGTAATTTTGTAGTTATAGTATGTATACCCTCATAGTTTCATGGTGGTTACAAGTTTGTGTAAATTACATAGACTGTGTCCATTGGGTTATTTCAGGTATGAGTCTATACCCACATTTGTGTTTGTGTGTTATCTTCATCAATCTTGACTTAAGCCTTTTGATTAACATTTACCAAGAGTACTTGTTTTTGTTTGTTTTTTAAACCAAAGTAAGATTTTTTTTATACGCATTGCCCAATCAATGGTGGTTTATAGAACAAACCTCAACAGTGTGTGTTGTTCATGTGTTGGACACTTACATATATCTTGTCTTGTACAGGGAGAGAATGTACACTTTCAAACTCCTACTGAAAATGGATTGACCCTGGGGGGGGGGGTTGTAGTGATATTGAATACCATTATGACTAAGGGTTTTGATCAGGAAATGTTTAAAGGTTTTCCCTTTTCTTAGGCTGATAGATTTAGCTGTTGACACGTATCGTAGAGCAATAGAATTACAGCCAAATTTCCCAGATGCATATTGTAACCTAGCCAATGCATTGAAGGAAAAAGGACAAGTGTCTGAAGCTGAGGAGTGCTATAACACGGCTCTTCACCTCTGCCCAACTCATGCAGACTCTCTAAATAACCTGGCCAACATCAAACGTGAGCAAGGATATATTGAAGAGGCTACTAGACTTTATTTGAAAGCTCTGGAGGTGAGAAATTTTTGTTTGAATTGTTATGTGTTTTTTGTATTCACTAAAAGCTGAAACTTAACATTTTTTTTTGTAGTATAGTATTAAGTATTACTACTTTATACAATGGAAATTAGTAGCAGGGTTCTCATTAATCTGGAATCCCTAGCATATTGCTCACAGATTTCCAGTTTCACATGTGGAAATTTAAATTCATGCTTGTAAAATCGATAAAGAAATGCATTGATTTTGTTGTTCTAACATTTTTTCTGATTTTATACACGGTTCCCATACGTTAGGGAAAGTAGAAAAATTCCACGAATTTTATATTTTGTTTTTCTGGCCTGGGAATTTCATTCTACAGACAAAACTCAAAAAAGTCAGTGAATTTGATATGCTTCAGTGATGCTTGTAGGTCACAGAGGACAAAAGAATTGATCATTAGCACCAAAAAATTGCAAACAGCTTAATTCTGATGCATTTTGACATCAGTATTAGTATTATGTGCATAAACACAGTTTTGGCTACATTAGTGTCTTTGTTTGCCTATAATTGTTATGGGGTATGAAGGCAACTGTAATAAATTACATAAACACTAGCTAGGTCTTGCTTACACTGAGTGTAAAGGGCTCTGGACAAGGCTGTGTCTTGTCTTCCAAAAACTAGTTCACACAAGATTGTTTTATTATGGACTAAAACTAAGATTCCTTAACAATTTTATATTTACAGATTGACTGTTTACTATAAATAAGTTTTCATTTTACAGATTTAAATGCAGTCCCCAAGTAAGTAGTGATATAATACACATATATTTGTTTATTGAAGATTTAAAGGATGGTTATATCTGGCAGTTCAAATATGGAACTAATATATGCACTTATGAATTTTTATTTCATATCTGTACTTATATTTATTCAATTTTGTCAAATATAACTAAAATAATTCCTTAGTAATTTTGTTTTAATCCATTATAAAATATATATCAGTAAACATTGGCTGTAGCATATGATGTCATGATGAATAGTATAGATTGGGCAGGGTTATTCACATGCTATATACCTCCAAGAGACAGAATATCATCAGTGACAGATAATAAAAACCTGTAAAAAGTGAAACATGGATGATAATGTATAATATCAGTAACTTGGATACAGTAGTCCATATTAGATATGACTGACCTATCTGCCATGATAAAAAAATAGTCATATCTTATAGGAAGTCGTTATTCAAAGGATCAATAACGAGATCACGAATGACTGAGTTCAAGCTTTGCCAGTCGCTATTGCCAAGGCTTGAGCATAATGGTTTATATACTGTATTGATAATCAGATGATGTAACAAATTGGTATAATAATAGTTATTATGAATAATAGTTAAATAAAGATAACTTAAAATTGTTTTATTTGTGTTTTATGTAAAATAATTTATTCATCAATCACACTTAGTTCATAAAATATCACATTCGTGTTTCATAAAATATAAATGTATTACATTTATATTTCATGTGTGTGAAATATGACATATTAGCACCAAATTTATTTCAGAAAACATCATCCATCCTTGTTTGTTTTACACATTTAACAGAGTCACTTTGAATGTTCATGAGTCCAGCAAATATGATATCCAGAAGCATTTTATTTTTTGTTTTCAGTGCACATTTTTGAACTGCTTCTAAGTATCTGACTGCCATTGCTACGGAGGTCACTGCTTTATTTTAGGTTCTGGTTCATCCTCTTTGTTGTCATCTTCAGTTGTTGGGTCGGAGTTTTCATTTTCTTTAATATGTCTGCCCAGTCTTTGTCCTAAATTGCAGTGGTGCCAGCATCTTTATTGCACAAGATGAACTCTTTCAGTGATGTCCCCCTGCAGTAATATGTGTCATCTGTGGTGATGTCTTCTGGTGTATCTGGCAATGTCTGGTTTATGAACCCACAGCATTCGAAACACTTTTGAATCATGTCTAGTTGAACTGAGTCCCAGGTATGTTTCAACCAGTATATTGCATTAGGTATGTTGATTTGACCCGCAAGATTGCTGGAAATCTGTGCCTCAGACATCTTCAGAAGTATGTGATGGAGAAATCTCTTGTGATAAAATGATTTCAGTCTTTATGATGCCGCTGTCACATGGTTGTAAACACAATGTTGTGTTTGATGGATGGAATACGAACTTGACATTTGAAAGCTTCATAGGTGGGTGTGCAGAACAGTTATTGACAAACATAAGAATTGATCAATTTTATAGTCTCATTTTGTTGTTGATTTTCTTCAAACAATTGCTGAAGGTGGCTGGTGCAATCCAGGCTTTCTTGTTTACCTCATACATCACTGGTAATTGTGGTGTCTGAAATCCTCTAAAACACTGAGGATTTGCTGATTGTCTGAGTGAAGCCTGACAATACCGTAATTCTCTCCTCTGAATTTTTACCACCTATACACATGCTGCCTTTGATAATTAGGGATTAATTTGGCATACACGTTTGTATACAGAAACGTGTGTATGGGCCAGGTACTGTAGCCTCTATAAAGATGGTAGTACATCATAATGGCATAGTTATAATGTACCTAAATATTATGGATGTTTTATCAACTGGTCAGATTATGTGTATAATGCATCCTCTATATATAATTAGATTAGAATTTACAATATATACATTTGAATAATTTGGCAATCTCATGAATGAGTAAATTTTGTATAAACTTAAAATTGTTTTTGGTAATGTGATCAATCCATAAATATATTACCATGTTAGTGCAACATTTTCAGTGTTTTTGATATAGGTGAAAATAGTATGCATATTTTCAAAGCTTATGTGAAAATGAGTGCTCTGGATGAGCGAGTGATTTCATTAACGAGTGCAGTTGTTTTACAGATACCTGAAATAGGAGTGTAGTGTATGGTTAACTGAAATCATGTACATTTTTGTACATATAAGCACGTCAGAAAATATTGCTTTAATAAATATTTGATATCTGAGAAGTGTACTTGTTAGAATGTTTCATTTTGTAACAGTGAACATGTCTTCTTTGTATTAATAGTCAGTATTGTAATTACAACTGTTAAAATCTATAGTGTTATTTAAGTTGTGATTGAGATTACTATTAAAGTGAAATTGGCATGTACTATCATAAACAAATGGATAAACTATTTTTGTTATGCATATTTTGTTAAAGTATCAATTATTCGAGAACAGTATGCCAATCATATTGAAACTTTGCAAGATAACATTTAATTTTCTCAACATGGTCTCGGTCAATTTGACGGACCATGTGACCTCTTTGTGCTCATTTAAAGTCTTTATAGATTTAATACTTTTAACTTTCAATATAATTTTTATATCTTCACAATATTTGGCAGCCTTTCAGTTAGTATTATAAGTCTTTCACATACAAAAAGTCATATTTTTAGTGATGTATTTTTAATAAAATAAAATAAAGATTTGTCCATGAATATATTGAGTATTTGTTTTGAATAGTCCGTGTGCAAAGTAATTTTCATGCTAAAATTAAAAATACTTTTCTCATCTCAAAAATCTCAAATTTGGCATGAATTGTATAATAGACTAATTACACTGGAAGGAAAATAACTAGTGTTATGAAATATTTCATTGTGTTCTTAAGACATCAAATTTATGTAATAAACAGTACCAAATACTTATCAGAAAAAATTGTGCTATTCTGACCATTATAATGTTTGTTTCAACACTTGAAAAACAGATCTTTGTGGGGTTTTTTTAGGTGTTTCCTGAATTTGCTGCTGCTCACTCAAATTTGGCTAGTGTACTTCAACAGCAGGGAAAACTAAATGAAGCTTTGATGCATTATAAAGAAGCTATAAGGTAATTTTAATATTTCCAAAAGTATTGACTACTTTGAAGTTACTTATTTACATAATTGTATTTGTAATATAACAAAGTTTATACACCTTTTAAACTGAAGTTCCATAAAATGTTTGTTAAACCTAGTTTAGTGAAGTAAATTTTTTATAAGCTTTTATTTATATTCAATATTTTACTACAATTTTCATTAATGAAACATTTAATTTGTAAGAAAACTTAAGCAACTCGTAGTGGGTGAAGGGAGTCCAGTCAAATACTTGTTGATAGTGGTCTGTTTCAGAGCTCTGAAACAGACAATGGTTGTTATCATTGTTGTCGGCGTGTGCACCAGGATTACGCCTGTTCTTTGTTAAAAAGTCGGTGATTGCTTGTGGCTGACTTATCTTGCAGATCTACTTCAGCCGAATCATTATCTCTGGTTCTGGTAGTAGATATAGATCTAGGAGATCGATCGATCAGGTCTAGCTTCTTTGTACCACTAAGTTCTTGTTGGGGCAATAACCCCCTGTGATCAGCTAATTGAGAAGCACTATAATTAGGTCTTGATGACTGTTATGAGTCGCTTTCATCACTAGTCTCTCTTCCAAAGTCATATTCAAGATCAGAATCACCATTGTAATCACTCCTTCCTTCCTGGTTGAACAGACTCATTGCTTGTTCAGCAGTAAAACATTTTGGTGGCCTTTTTCCACTTTTCATCTTTGTTTTACAGTTGATTTAAACAAATTGTTAGATTTCACAAGAAAACACTGAAAAAAATCTGTTTCACCTTGTTGACCTGAAATTTGTGTCAAAAACAAATGACAATGCTTCATGGAACTTCCAGTCTATTTTCAAAAGGTGGATAATAACATGGTTTGGATTAGTTTCAGCCAAAGGGATATAAATGTTATCAGGCATTGTAACCATGTGATGAGTGAATCAGGATTTTTGGCCAGATGCTGGAGCAGAAATGAAAATTGTAAAAATACTTTTTCCCCACTCTTCTCTGTGAAATATAAATAACCATTATATAATGCTAATATATTGATTTTACAATATTTTTAGCAAAAATATTGCTGGAATAGAATTATTTTTTACTCGCGTTTTGGTTTGATATGTAAATCATAATATGGTAAAAACCATCTAGCAATTTTTTTCTGTAGAATTTCTCCAACATTTGCTGATGCATACTCTAACATGGGAAACACTTTGAAGGAGATGGGTGACATCCAAGGAGCATTGCAGTGCTATACTCGAGCTATTCAAATAAATCCTGGCTTTGCTGATGCTCACAGTAACTTAGCTTCTATTCACAAAGTGAGTAGTTTTAGATCTTATCACTTGAGTTGTTTGAAAACAAACTGTGAATATTTAATAATAGGATTCTTGCTTTATGTAGGCATTTGCTTAATTGGAACTTGTTTTCATGTTAATATTAATTCCCACTACAGGCATGGTCCCAGGAACTGTCCTCGTAACCATTTTGTGCTTGATATAGTTTTGAAATGATAACTTTTAGTACAGGAAGTGTATGTTCACTAAATTTTGCACATTATCAGTAAACATTACAAGGTTTTAGTACACAAAATATCAGATTAGTTTATTCAGTTTTAAGATTTTTTAAGTACGGGTTTGGTTGATTTGACCAACCTTGTAACCAACATAGAAAATAGTTATAAATTATGCTTTTATTATTCTAGAATGACTACAAATTATTACAGGAAACCATTTTTCATTGATCTTTCAGCCATTTTTAACTAACATTACACAAGTTGCAATGCTACCATACCCAATAAGATGAAACGCCTCTACAAATTGACATGTCTTTTGATTGTTCTAGTGAATCATTATTTTGTAAAATACAGTCACATTTCAGTTAAAATAAATTACATGTACATATATATTATTACTATTTACAAATAAGTTCATAAATTTCAGTTATTTTTCTTTAAACATAGAACAGTAAATAAAGAAATATAGAAGTCTTTTTTTTTTCTACTTACAAACATTGTACTCATTTGCCTACTTGCTGTAATTTGGTAAGTCTTGTCAAATTTAGAATGTGGAGGATGTAAAACAAAATACTTTTTTTAAGTTTTATATATGCATTTCGAAATAACCAAATATTATAAATTACTCTATCACTATTGCAGAATTGTACTGTAATATTTCAGGCTTACTAATTAAACTGTATTTGGGTTAAAAAAATATTGTGTTTTGGACAACATTTTCACTTACCCCTTCCTTCAGAGATTCAAGGGAAAGAAATAATCTTGGGAACTTCCCACCTTTTAAAGACTGAGAAAATCACCAGGGGGACATTCTGAGTTTTCAATTAATTAATCATACATCATAGACAGAAATAAGTGTATGTAAGCAATATTTCCAAAAATGGAAAGAGGTGGGCAGTGTCACTGGGTTTGATTCACTATATGTGATGATATCTCAGCAAATAGAAAGATAGGAAGTTCTTATTTTATATTCTAGCTTGTCAGTATTGGTAATTTGAGTTTCTAATTCATAAGAAACTATAGACGTTGTATTTGAACATCACAAAAACAATTTGAACGAAAGCTGCATTCAATATACCACGTGACACACAAAAATTGATATTTAGGAATTTTGTTTTAATATATATTTTTAAATTAAAAAATTAAGTAATATATAATACTGAAATTTGTATTATAATCTAGAATGTGATGCCAAACTTATTGGCATACATTCATAAAAAGTAGATGAATAAAATTTTTAATGCAAGTTTACAAATGTGACTTTTGACTCCTAGCCATAGAAAGACCCATAGCAAGTAGGTTAACAGAATGTTTCACTCTTATGTTTTATAAATCAATATGAATATGCATGGAAATATCAATTATTTGGGTATTTTTACTTGTCTCATACCAGTGTTTGATATCTATTTGATAATGTGCTTGGTCCTGTACATTCATTGCTGGTTATTAATGGGAAGTTAATTGTCTGTGATGAGCTGTAGTTTACATTTTAGGCTATGTAATATTTATTAAGAATTACTAGCTCAAAAATATGAGACCTGTTTTGACAGCATAATATAATCAGAAACTTTTGAACAAAACAGATCTTTGTGTAGTTATTGTTATGACGATGAAGGTTTCATTGAAATACTTAAAATATATTGGTTTCATTTATCTTTCTTGATATGACTTGTACAAACTGTGTTAACACTTTGACCATGGGCTGGGAGGAATCCACCCAGCTTGTGACCACTAATGCAATCATGAGAGCAGTCATACTAGAACTTTTTATAATTTGTGTATATCCTCATGAAATTTTGCCAGTTAGCAGAAAACATTACAAGGCTTTTGTACACAAAATATCATATTTAATTAAAGATTTGCTCATGCAAAGTAATTTTCATTATTTGACCACTATTTAATTTTACCCTTTCTGTTCGAGCTTGCAAAAAAAAATAGTGTTTTTGGCAAATAGACACCTTGCAAAGGCTGAGAAAATCACGTGGGGGAAATTCTGAGCTTTAGATTGGTAATAGAGTGAAGTGGGTGTATGTAAACAAGTATTTCCAAAAATGGAAGAGGTGGGTGGGGCCTCTGTTTGATTTGCTAAATATAGTGGTATCTCAATAAATAGATTATACATTATATATGTATATAGATTATTGCTATTTTGAAATAAGTTATTAAACTTATTTTTCGTAAAACATAGAATAGTAACTAAAGGAGTAAAACAAACAATTATCTCTTCTAGTTACGACCTTTGTACTAGGGTGGTGCTTGACTTAGGTTGCTAAGCCTTTAACAATTTTGTACGTGGAGGATATGAAACAAATTTATTTTTTGTTTTTTTTAGGTTTTATATATTTCATTTGAATAACTAAAAAATCATAAATTACTACATCAACACCATAGAATTCCACTATAATTTATCAAGCTTTGTAACTAAAATGTATTTTAGTCTTAAAAAAATATGAAACTTCAAGCAGATTAAAGACACAACCTACCTCCTAGAAATATTGGTTCAAAAAAAAAGAAATGGCATCCAAGTCCATTAAGATGGCTGAGAAAGTCACTAGGGGGACATTCTGAGCTCTGATTGGTTATTCATGTCATATATAGAAGTAAGTGTATATAATGGGGTGTTTACCAAAAAATGGAAAGAAGTGGGTGGGGTACCACTTTGTTTAATTTATTACATGAGCAATATCTTAAGAAATTGAAAAGATAAGAGGCTCTTATTTTATATTCTAGCTTGTCAATATTGGTAATTTGAATTTCTAATTCGTATGAAACTATAGTATTTTGACTTCACAAATATCTAATTTGAACCAGTTCTTCATTCGACATACAACGTGACACACAAAAAATCGATATTTAACTGTGTTTTTTTTTAATATTTACTTTTAGATTAAGAAATTGAGTAAGGTATAGTACTAAAATTCGAATTATACTCTACAGTTTGATACCACACTTATTGACATAAATTCATGAAATAGTAGTTCAATAGAACTTTTAATGCGAGTCAACAAACGTGATATGGCCTTTCAACCGTGCCCCATCCCTAAAGGGTTAAATGTTGAAAAATGTAAAATAAAGTCAGTAGTACTTGCTGTCATCTTTAGTATAAACTACAAAGTTCCAAAGTACTTCCTCTGAGAGTTTTTACTTCTGATCTTTTCACATCTATTTCCCATCTTTATTTTACTGTTAGTGGCTGAAGTAAAAGCCAACTGATCATAAAGTAACAAATCATCATTCCTGCCATAAGACTGTTAATGTGACATCATAATTTAACACTGTCGAAACAAGTTTGTGCAGTGCAATTACCAGGACTTTTCCATAGAGTTTAATGTAATCTTTGCTTCAAGCACACAGTGGGAGAGGATTTATCAGCTTGTTTATAGTACAGCGGTTGCAACGAGTAAAGTAATAAAAGTGCAAGAAAATATTTATGTACAAAATCCCAGATGATTCAATAAACTTAGTAGGTATTTAGATGTTAGTTACCCTCTTAGTGTGGTCATAATTTAATGGTTTAGGTGTAGAAAATATGCAAGTGTTTATGAATGCATATATTAATGCTATTTACTCATAAATGGTTAATTTTTATTTATTTTTCTTAAAAAACAGTAAAAAATATATAGAAAAATGGTGATTCCTGGCATGTTGAACTTGCTTCCCTATAAGCCTTGTTTATCCTTTAAAGTGTAGGAAGAAGACAAATTATTTTTTGTAGATTTCAAAGAAACATTTTAGAAACCCAAAATACCATGAAAGTACTGTACTGGTACACACAAAACCACTGTAATTTATCTGGCTTTCTAACTAAGCTATATGCAATTATAAAACAAATCTCATTTGTGTTTAAAGCAACCATTTATTCAATAGACTTCAACGTTTCTAGTCAAATTACAAGTTTTGCCTTCAAGCCAATTTTAAATCACTTTCTATTGGTTATAAACATGTAATTAAGTAAGCATGAATAGACAAGAGGTTTCAAAAAGAATGGAGTGGTGAGTGGGGCTACCCTCGTACATTTGCAAAATGTATTGATACCTCAACAAATCAAAAAAGTGGGAGGTTCTTATTTTATATTCTAGCTTGTTAGTATCTGAAGTTTGAGTTTCTAATTCATTAACCACTAGATATGTATAGTAGGTGTAATAAACTTTAAACTGAGCAGCAAGACAAAAAGGCAGGCCAAATGATACACAAAAAAACATATTTGGCTTTTTTATTAATATTTTCTTTTGAACTAACAAATTAAGATATGTATATATATATATAATATTAAAATTTGAAACATAAACTATGTTTTAATGCCAATTTTGTTGATGTAGAATGATAAAGTTGTTTAATTACATTTTGAAAATAACTAAAACATAGTGATATCCACCCTTTGACCTGTCTGTAGAGAGAGGATTAAGTTGGTTATGACATGCAATCAGTAGTTAAAATACAAAATATTACTGATTACTAAAATAAAACATGAACAGATGAAATAAAATGAATGATAAATTGGGTATATATTAATTCTTTGTTAAAATTCTGTTATATGTCGGTGACAGAGAATTGTGAACTATGTTTCTGTTGGTTTAAATATAAACACACAGATACATATATAGATATGGTTTTGATACTTCATTAACACGTACATAAAATCGCAAGGTCTAATGTAAATAAACAAAGAGAATTAATTAATTTATTTATAAGAGATACATTTTTAAGACTATTTTTTGGTTGTTCAAAAATGCTCTTAAAGATTTTAGCCTAGATCATGTTTTGATAACATTGAGATGTGAGTTGAGGCACACCTTTTTGAATATTTAGTGTTGTTAAAGGGAGGAGTAGGAAATGTATGCATATATCAAATAGCATTATTTTAACCTATTTATTTTGAAAATATAACTTGTACATATTTAAAGATAGTTTACACTGGTAGTGGACAATATTTCATGTAGTAATAGTAATAGGAATTTTTTTAAAGATAATATGTCTACATACCTGAACATTGGTTGCAGCAGTAATATTCAGTATTTCATGTTGAATTGGCTTTCTACTTACTTAAAGAATCATGCAGTGGAAACATGCTTTATATAAAATTTTCTTTAGGACTCTGGAAATATACCAGAAGCTATTGCTTCATACAGAACTGCACTGAAGTTGAAGCCTGAGTTTCCAGATGCGTATTGTAACTTAGCTCACTGTTTACAGGTATGTAACATTTGTTTCAAGTACTGTTTAATGTGCTGATTTTGAGTTTAACAGCTAGTATTATAAAAAATAAAAAAAAGATTCTACAGGAATCTGTATCATTATATGATATTTCTCAAGGATTTGCTTCAAGCCACGAAAAACTAGTTTAACAGAATCTTTACTTCCCTTGAACAATTCTTGTTATTGATTTTAGTCAAACAAATTATAATTTTTTTTCAATTGGGAAAATTAGTTTGGAGAGAAAGTACTGACTGTGTTTGAAGATATCACGAGTAACTTTTTATGTATAATGTAAAGGTATTGAAAGTAAAATTTCTAATGTGCATGCTTAAAAACATTTATTTCTGCCAATATCTTATATCAAGTTTTTGAAAAATGACAGTATGTGGTAATTATTGTTTTATTTAATATAAAAACAAGAATTTTTAAAGACAAAAGTGAGGTTTATGTAAATTTATTTCTAAATTGTAGTGTAAAACTGAACAAGATAAGTTTGATATTGTAAGTTAAGTGTTAACTCCAACACTTGTTTTTTTCTAGTTATGTGTAGATTATGCTAAGTTTTTGTACTTAAATAAAATGAATGTATTGAATAGTTTTCTTTAATGTTTATATATTATTTGAAATTATAAAACAAAATTTAATTTAATTATGCACAGAGGGCAAATGAGTTTTGTTTCATAAAAATTCATAATTGTCTTACTGTAATAACTATAAAATTGTCATTTTATTCTTGAACACTGACCAAATGTTCCACAAAAGGGTAATGCTGCCCTGTTTTCAAGGCATTAGTAGTTTTTGATTATCACAGCTGAATAAGTTATTGTACCAGAGTTAAGTTTTATATTTATTTTGAGAACAAAAGCTGCTAAGACCATGGGATCGGCTTCACTTTCTCAAATTCTTTATCTCTGAATTCTTGCCCGTATTCTCAGGAACCATCGTTCTTGTTTATAATTAAGGTCAATAATTACAAAAAAAAAAGTGTAATTTGTTAAATAAAACTAAAATTCTTTTAAAGTTTCTTAAATATTTACCAATGATTATATTACTAAAGTATTTGTGGTGGCTGCTCTAGGCTAGGCTTTCCAGCCTATATAACTGAGAATTTTGTGTATTGTTATAAATATTTTCATCGTGGTTGCTGTTAATAAGTATAGGTGTAGTGTTTACAGCTTCTTTTTATGAGTATCCCTTGATTTACCTATATTTGATTTACATTTTTTAGCTATAGTGTAAATAACTTTTGTGGGTGTTTTTTGATTTGCATTTTCTTTTTATGCTATAATGAAAATTTTGCCCCTTAATGGAACGATTTTTCCCTATCATGAAATTCAAATAGCTAAAATGTCATTTTTCTCTGTTACAATATTGTAATACCTTTAGTTACTAAAGTATTTTTTTACTAATATGTAATTAAAATTCAGTTGAGTGCTACAGATGAAATTTCAAACAGTTTGCCATGAAGTGAAGTGGTATTTTTTTTATCGGCCGTATTCTACCTCAACCCTCAAGATATATGGTAAGAGACCTTCCTCAAGCTCAACTGCTGCCTCAGCAAAACATTCTTGCCAGGCACGTTGGATACAAGAATGGACATAATAAAATGTAGTGAAATTTTGGGTCAGGAATGCATCCATATTTCTTATATTCAAAATAATAGGAAATGCATTTTCATCTTGCATTTCATTATATATTACATTCTTAAAGAATTTATCCCTTTCTTAAATGAAGGGATACCTGTATATAACAGAGGCTAACACTAATTTTTGAGTAGAAGCTCTATAATACTGGTTTCATTTATATAGAATGGAAATCTTAGTTACCCGATATGAGTCAAGTTTGTGTTAATATTTGAATATAATTTGAGCATTTAATAAGTCTGTTTTGAAGCATTTACATGTTTTTTGTAGATTGTGTGTGATTGGACTGACTATGAAGCTAGAATGAAGAAACTTGTAAGCATTGTGGCTGATCAGTTAGAAAAAAATAGGCTTCCATCTGTCCATCCCCATCATAGCATGCTGTACCCACTTTCACATGAATTTCGAAAGGCCATTGCTGCTCGTCATGCCAACCTTTGCCTGGAAAAGGTTTTGTAAATTTTAGAAATTGTTGTATATGATATTAATGATGTTCTTACTTGGTGTAAATGTTTAAATATGTCATATCACTCCCATGTGCAAGATAATATTATTATGAATATTGACTAGAAATTCTAACTTTTTTTTTTTAACATGTTTGTAGAATCTTGTTCAAAGTTGCAGTATAGCAGACTTATCACTACTTTCATCAGTGCATACAGAACACCAATAATAATTTTTAAACTCGCTAACAGTTGAAGCTTTAATTACATTGAGCATTGCATACCCCATATCCCTTATTTTCTCATATGATGAACAAGATTGTTGATTGCCAACATGCAAACATTTGAAGCACTCCAAACTAATATCTCGCCACAGTTTCTTTAAACACTGAATATTTGGCTGCAGTTAAGTTTTATTTGGCTTACATGTAAATAATCTGCATTGCTGTGTACAATTTATAATTGTATTTTTATTCCTCTGGTCTTGCTGTGCTTTACATCTGTTCTGAGAATCTGTGATTGTTAATTTTTGTTATTATTGTTGAATATATCTGTTTTGGAAACAAATGTATCTAAAATAAAAAAAGAGGAATACATTAAGTGTAATTAATGAAAAGAAACAACATACCAAAAACATGCAGGTACAACTGAGGTCTAATGTAAGTTTATGAATTAAAATATCAGAAAACACTGCTAAGTTTAAAAATGGGAGTCTGTGTTGTTTTGTTTAAGTTAAGAGCACAACATTTATTCCTAGGTTACAAGATGTAATTAAACTTTTTAAGATTCAACATTGTTTTCTTTAGAAATTAAGTTGGCCTTTGAAACTGCTTGAGCCTGCTGGAAACTGTCACAATAGAAATGAGGCTTGTCTCTTTTTTAGCTTCCAGAACACACAACCACTTATATATAATCTGCCACTGATTTAAATCATTGTGATTAGCATCAGTATTTATCTCATAACTCATGATTGCTTTTTTACACACACACATATATAAACCATTTCCCAACATGCTGCACCATTAATACAGCTTGTATGTAAGTAAGAATGATTCAACTGAGATAGCAAGAAAAATAAACTATTGTACACCACTTACTTCACTCTAAACTGATTCCTATTGAACTTTTGGTAGAATGTTTAGTGCTGCTCTTGAATGAAACAAAGGATGTAGCTTTAATCATTGGTACAGCAAGTTTTGATACCCGTGGTGGGCAGAGCACAGACAGCCCATTGTGTAGCTTTGTGCTTAATTTCAAACAAACAAACAAGCTTTAATCATGGAAGATTACAAATTAAACTACTGCTGTACTTCTCTTGTTGAATAAGCAAGAGAGTTCTTTAAATATGCATGTGCTAATACATCACAGATATTGGGATTGTCATAATTTTGGAAATTTGAAATAATATTCACTCACAAAATATAAGAATTTCTCACTTTTGGCAAATTTATGAGCAACAACTTAATCCCTGTTTGACCCAAGCATATGTGCAATATTTTTAGGTCAGTATTTATATTTTAGTTGAACTAGATAGTAATTTGAAAACCAAAACAACTAACATTGGGGACATTAAAACATAATCTGTGCAATGTCATTATTTTAGTAGTTTCTGTAGTAGTAGAAATAGATAACATTGACTTGTTAACTAGTTCCATATCAACTAGTTTGATCCAATTTGGAAGTGTAAAATTTAACATACTGTAACTAAATTTATCTTCATGAAATTGACAAGCTTTTAGTAAATATTATACCAAAAAGCAGGTTTTTTAATAATATATTTCTACTACTTTTTTTTAACTTAAGGTTTTCATATTTTAACTGGGCTCAGTGGTAAGTCTGTAAGCTTATAATGGTAAAAACTGGATTTTTGATACCAATGTGGGCACAGTACAGATAGCCTCATTGTATAGCTTTGTGCTTAACTAGAAACAAAAAATAATAATTTGCTTAGCTCATAAATAAATATTTAAAAACAAATTGTGTAAACATTTTAATACTATTTTTCTTATTTCTGTACTGTGACACTAGTGACATCAGTGTACAGTAAAATCAAAACTTGAAACATATGAAATAAATGAATACCTTTTTTCTTCTTTGAATACATCATTTGTTACCAGATCTTGAATTTAATTATCTTCAAAATTTCAAGTATTAACCATTTCACATCTGTTTTCTTTTAATTTTGGTATTTTATTGTTGGACTTTTTTCTTGGGAAACTGTTTATTACTCTGTGAAAAGATAAGTCACAGAAGGAGCTGATATCATATTTACAACAGCATATAATGTAAACAAGCTGATCAAATTACACATTCAAGCTCTTAAAATTTGATATATATTTTTACCTATCCTAAGATGTTTCTTTCTACATTTTCATTACTCTTTTTTAATGTAATACTGAATAAAAATTACTTAATAAACAAGAAATTGAACACTTACTTTAGGCATTTATGTATGCTTGTTTGCACTCAAATACTACGCTTCAGTAACCCTACCTTTTTCATCACTATAATGTCTGATAAATCACATAATTTCAAATATGCATTTTAGAACACAAAAAATATCGGGAACTAGTTTAGAATCTCTCAAAACTACTGTGATATGGATTTCTAACTAAATTATAAATATCTTTATAAAACTTTCATTAGCTGCTCAGAGCTCAATCTGTAATAAAGTTATTGTAGAGGAAAAATTGCTCTTTCTATTGGCTATAAACTTGTCTATCATGGTGTAGATAAGTTTCTTGAAAACTATAATAAGATGGAAGGAGCCACTTTTTGGTTTGAAAAGTTTATTGGTTTCTAAGCAGATCAAGAAAGTAGGAAGTTCAAAATTAATATTCTTCCCTGTCATTATCTGTAGCTAATGTTTCAAATTAATAGGACATTGAACCCATTAAAGGGAAGATAAAATATATAAGGGAAGACTCGGGGAGAATATTGTGAATGTAGTTCATTTTTTCCTTTTGAAATTAAGAAATTAGAACTTAGATGATATAAAAATTTGAATTGGAAACTACATTGTAATGCCAAGTTTACCAAGATACATTGATAATAAAGGTGTTTAGATTTTCACTGTCACTGTAAAATGTTGAGACCTGATCACATTCGCCCTGCTCTGTAGAAGAAGTTAAATGAAAAATTTAAACGTCTTATTTTGTCTCTGCTTGCCTGCTATCTCATTTAATTACCTCCCAGTCTTAATGTAGCTTAAAATGCTCATCACAGACCAAGAGCATATGGTAAAGTACATGTCTTAATTATAAAGCAATGCATATTTGGGGAGAGGTATTAAAGAAGAAAGACCTTAGTACAGCTGAATCATCATCACTAGGATGGGGTTTGTCTGTTAATGTTTTTTAATATGATGAATTACACATTTTAAAAACTATACAAGTTGTTGAAATAAATTGTGGGAAGGATCTGTTAACAGGATTTTTAAAAAATGAATTGTTTTATTAATTGTGGAATAATGTCAAAAAACTGTTTGGCATTTGTGATAAACCCCAAGTATTATAGGAGAAAATGCATAGTTGAAAAAATGAGTTTTCATCATTAGACTTTTAAAAGAAATTCATATTTTTTTACTGTAATATGCAGGTATAATACTTGTGACTTTAGTGTCGAGTGCTAGACAACTTGTGTGTAACATAAATTTCTGATATTGTTTAGACTTAGTGGTCATTAAAGTTTTTTTTTAATAAGTAAAACTAAGTTGGTTACTATTTTGAATGAACTGTGTAAGTATCTTGATTTGTATTTAATAGTATATAATTTTGACTTTCAGATTCAAGTGTTGCATAAGCCCCCTTACCAACATCCTACAGATTTGAAAGGAAGTAATGGGCGACTGCGTATAGGATATATTAGCTCTGACTTTGGGAACCATCCAACTTCTCATCTGATGCAGAGTGTCCCTGGAATGCATAATAGAGAAAAAGTAGAGGTTTGTGGTATTTTATTAATAGATTTAATCAGTTAGTTGGATATAGAGAACTTCTTTGGTGTGGTTCACATCCCATTATTTTCATATTATTCCTTTTCTTTGTATGGTCTTTCTTCCTGATAAGACTGAATATAGCAAATACATAAGCATTACAGGATCTTTTTTGTTTTGTCAGTTACACTTCTGAATTCTTACTTGTTGGTCATTCTTGTTTCTCTAGTGTATTTCTCACATTTACAAATGATGCTGTAAATTTTGTTTTTATTTACCATTGGGTTTGTAGGATGTAGCATCATCTAAATACTGTTATGACTTTATGCTATCTACGTATTCTCTGTAATTTTTTTGTAATCCAAATGCTCCCACCCTTCATGTCACTTTTTTGGGTACCCATAAGGCAGTTTTGGTTGCAGTTGATTCAACTGTATACCAGTTATAAGTGGGAAAACACAGAATTTTGTTAAATAATGACTTAGATGGCCACGTATCCAATTTTTCTTGCTCATTTGATTATTCTTGTTTTGTTTTTTATGTTCTTTATTTTTGTTATCAAGTGTTCAAGGTATCCATTTAAATGAATGGTTGTATTTATGTTTTTCTTCATTTAAGAATTGATGGGATTGAAACCTGTGGACTGGTGAAGGCTAGGGTAGATGTTAGAAGTCTGTGTCATACTCTATGATCAGTCACAAATAATTTTAACCCTATGGCTAGTGACATTATCATCCTATAATCAGTCATCTGTGGGTAAAAGTAGAACATTGTGGAGTTCAGCAAGGCTGATCAAATATTCATAAGTAAGAATATAACCGTTCAGAGGAGAGGCCTAGCCCTGCTGTTTTAAGTGAGCCCCAGAACATTACACTACCTCCAGAAGGTTATACAGTGGAGACTGTACAGGATGGGACCATGCCTTCATTTAGTTGTTGCAGAACAATGAAGTGTGCATCTACATTAATTTTTGGTGTCAGTGATTTAGGGACCACTGGAAACATTTCTTTCAGTTGTTGGCAAATATAAAAGATTTTCATATGGGAGCACACCAAAGTTAATTTCACTTTGGATGTTATACATTGTTATGGTGGTAGTGGATGTCTCAGGACCATAACTAAAGATATCAGTCTGTTTACACACAATTCAATGTCTGTTAGCTTGAACAGTCGTCAGTATTTGTGTGCTTTTCCTGTTTGGTAGCTCTTTTTTTTTTTTTCTTCAACCACACTTTCCCTCATTACATGAAGTTTTTTTAATCTGATACCAATGCAAACTTAGCACACAGTGGCCTTCAAGTTACCATTCATCTAGACCATCCACAGTAATCAAATATTGTTCATAGCTTGATAAATCTTTTCCATGATGCTCATAAAATTTATCAAATTTATTTATATTCTTCTGTTGGTTTATTTTTTCTAACACACAAGTAATTTGTATAAGTACGAAGTGAGAACCAATCTATTCTGTAGGCAGGGGTATGTTATATTTTCGTCAGTGAGTGCATATGTAAAAAATACCTTGCTAAGTGGTAACATGGTGAATCTGCACTTAACTGTTTTAGATGATAAAGTTAGTTTA